TTGTTATGTTGATGCTGGTTACTTATCAAACCTGTATAAGGCATGTTCCCAAATGGTCATGTCTTTACCATTAGGGATATTGCAATATTGTGGAGGTCCACGATATAGATCTTAGTTATAAAATCTTTTGAATCGATCCAAAGCTCACCATGCCTCATTACGCCACATGTGAGAAATAGGGTTGAGAGCTCTTGTTGAGCATATTTGAAGTACATGTTGTTTTTCATTCGTCATTGAGTTCCCATGACGATCATGAAGACAATGCCACATGTATTGACTAGACCAAGACATGATACATAAACAAAATCAACACCAAGCATATTGCGCCCTCATCATATCAGCAAAGCATAAAGATATTGAAGTCAAGCAAACTGATCTTGAGACAACCTTGGCGATCTATTCACAAAGTCAAAATCGAAGTCTACCTTCCAGAAACTCGTCTGATGAATTGGTATGCGTAACTATCTCACTTGAAATGCTTGTAGTTCTCATTTGGATGTTTTGTCAAACTTAAGAGGAGTATCTAAAAGTATACTCACTTGACCGTAATGTACTCTTCTTCCTTACGATTAGGAGCATTTTTCCCATTGGGTTTTTTCTACCTGATGAGGTTTTAACAAGGCACCCATCTTGAGATGGTCATACCCTTGTGTGCGTTCTACTAGCGTCCTGAAGGTGTTTAGTTTTGGCTTAATACAACTTCTCACTTTTCTCCTTAGACTATGAGTTTTATCCTCCTTGGGTTTTACCATAGCGAGGTTTTGTGAGTCTTACTACTTATGCATTACTTAGTTTATTTTTTACACTCGCATTCGCACATTGTGCCGATTAGACGTGATGACTTCAACAACTATTTTTACATCATCACATGAAGACTTGATGCACTATTTACTTGAGTATTTACACACTCAAAGGAGAGTGTTGCTAATTTCATTAGCAATGTAATTGTATAAATCCTAGTAGATTATGTGTAGGATTTTACAATATATTTTAGATAGTTTCCTTGTATCACTTGTATTACTTGGAGAGCAAGAATTCTCTGTTATTAGTATAAACTAGTATATGCCCACACACCAAGTGTGTGAAATTTTTTACTTTGGTTGTTAAAATTGAAGGAGAGAGGAAGAGAGTAAGAGAGAACGTCAGAGTTAGGAGAGAGGGAGAGAGGTTGCTTTTTATTTTTTATTTTAATTTTTTTATATATTAGGGATGATAAACTTACATGTATGTGAGGTTTAAAAAAAAACCAGTAAAATTTTGTTTTGTGAAGTTACGTTACTATCTTTAACTTTTTTGTTGTGATAGAAGAAAAAGATGTCTTTTCACTCTCTTTTGGTTGACAAAGAGGATTTTAGTAATGTAGTATTAGATAAAGGTACAAGGCATGAGGAATATGTACACAAAATTCCTCAACGCCATTCTTTCCCTTCTCTTCTCTCTAGCCGATTTCCCTATCTAAATTCATACTAGAACAATAATTAAATTAATACTTTGATTTTTTAAAGAATATAACTTTAAACCATTTTCTTTTCATACTTCAAATGGTACAATTTTATTAGTGGGAATTGGTTTAATTAGGTACATTATTTCTCTTAACAATTGATCAAAGAATGAATTGAAAATTTTAACTTCTAATAATTCAAACAATATAGTTCACAATAATTTCAAACACTATATATATATCAAAAATAATTTCTTTGAATTAGGTTTCAATAACTTGTTTAATCAAAATCTCATCACAATTGCATTATGGTGTGTTGGGTGGACATCACCACTGCTCAAATCAAACATTTCATTCTCAGCTTCTCATAAAATGCCAAAAGAAAAAAAGGGTTTGTGGGGAAGAAGATATAGACCTTTGTTTAAAACCATATCTATTTGTTTGTAAACTTTCCATCCTTTTCATACCATTTAAACTTGAAAAGCTGCCCACCAACAACCCCCCATCTACTTCACTAAGGCATCTTTTAGGCCTATGCCTTGTGAATTATTGTTTCTCAATGATCTTAATCCTTTTCAAATGTCTTACTGATGGCTTGAGAGAAACATGTTTTCTGGGTCCACCAAAGAAAAAGAATAAAAGATGATCTCCCAAGCATATTGTGAGCTATCCCTTGTATTTAAACTCAATTTTATTTGTTGGCACAATGCGATATGCAAAGGAAATGAAGTAATAACTTAGAAGGTAAGAATATGAAATCCACCAAGAAATATGAGAGACTCCTCAAGTATTATTGGATAATAATATGAACAACAATCTTAAAAGCAAACCAAAAGTTTTTATACACCTCAACTCTAGTTTCGCTAGACCCCAATTAGGAATGGTTAATCAACATTTATCTGAGTCGTTGATCTAATTTTGTGCATCTTTCAACTTTTATGATTAGATTAGAAGACCTAAATACTCCTTCATTTAATGTGGTGTCCCCCCTTGTGCCTTGGATGCTACTAAATCTTCAAAATCTCGACAATAATCGCAAATCTATGGGAAATCTTCATTCTACACTGTTTGCACTATAATTGCAATAATGTCTTCTAGAAAAATCGGAATCGTGAAGAGTAAAATTTCTCTAAAAACTAGACATCTAGAACTTTCTAAACATATAAGGCTCAACATCTGGTTCGCTTCGAGAAAGCATGGTTTAATCTTCCAACTTGATTGATCTGCACAGCAAACCTCTGCTTCCAGGGTGGAAAATGTCTTCCAATCTCTATAATGCTCTTTTAGCTTTTAACTTCAATTTTCTTGCCTGAGAACACAAATTTAAAAAACCTAATGAAAAGCAAAGGAAAAAATAGGATACGACACAAAAATTGTCTAAAAAGCAATGAAGATATTCCTATTCACTTGTAAATGAGAGGTTTTAGGTTCGAACCTCGCTAAGGGGCAATTTGAACACTATTGCTAGCTCATTGTGAGGCTAAAATCATCCCCTATCCCTTAGTATAAATAATATCATTTATTCAAAAATAAAAAAGCAATAAAGATGGGTACGAAAACCAACCTCTCATTTTGTGACCTGTAAATGTTACGTTTTGATGTTTTTAAGATTATTGTCAAACTGCTCTTTGATTATGTTCTACATCATTTATGTTTTGTGGTACATAGTTCGTGATACCATGTATTTCTCAACAGCCATTGCATTTTTTTCTTCATATACCCTATGGCATGTGGGTGTCACAACTATGTAAGAGTGAACATGATCTGGTTATGAGGCAATATGTGAAGATAAATGATCCACTAGTATAATATGCAACTAGATGTATCACTATTTCTATGCCTACTAGAATTTATGTGAAGGGATGTATCAATATTTCTAAGCCCTTAATTTTATGTGATGTAAGATGCAGAAGTCATGTCATTTTTTGTTAGCATATCATGTCAATTTCATGGAAATCAATATATTTTTGAGAAAATCTTCTGTGCCAACAAATATAAACAATTATATCTTCGCTTGTAGAGAAATTCTTAATATTAACATGTAAATTACTTGATGAGCATTATAGATAAAAATGATTATATCTCTGCTTGTACAGAAATTCTTCAATATTTAGAGCTGTACTTGAATCGCGTGAGCTAGGGCGATTACTTATAGCATTTCTCATATATTTTTGTGATGGCCATTCTTATTTGGTTGTTTTTTATTATCCCATAATATCATATTCTTTAGTTTATTACTCCATAAGACAAATATCTTATCTCTGGCACACATCTAGTGCAAGACAGTTCCAATGTTTTGGTGGTAGTGGTAAGGGGATGAATATAGAGCCCCTCTGAAAATATCACAGCAGCCAGCTGTAGTGCTTGCCGTAATGCTCTTTCAGTTTTTCACATCTCACTGTGACTCCCATGTTTTTGGTTTCTTATCTCTTCACTCTTTGCCTCAAATGACCTTCATATGAGTTCAGTTTACTTGATCCACACAGTTTAAAATTTGTTTTGGGAACTGTTTTCACACTGAATGTACCTGTTTGACGTTCTCTTATAGGAGTTTCATGGAATAGATTCATGGTCATATGACGTTTTGATCGAATAATACAATACCATGTATAAATTTTTCTCCATGCAACTAATGTAGGACAAAATTGGATTTATTTTAGGTGTAGAAAAATTATAAGGAGGAGGTGGCATTTAATAAAAAAAAAAATGGAGAAATGGAAATTCAAGGGTTAGTTGATTATTTGCTACAGCCATATCCCTAAAGTGAATGCTTTGGACTTTTCATGTTGTTCGAATTAACGTAGCTTTCTGTTTGGCATGTAAGTTTTAGGTCCATTACATATGAATTCGAAGAAAACAATGAGATCTACAAGACTCGTTGCTCAAAAATGAGACCAGTCGAAATTTGGTGAATTATATCGTTTAATTTGGGTTTTAATATTTTAAGATATTTTAAATATTTTGTTATTTGTTTAATTCCTTTGCTATTTGGATTCCTAGGGTTTCTAGGGTTACGTAACATTATAAATAGGTTATGTTGGCCTTAGGTTTGTAATCTTTCATATTATTAATAAAAATTCGAGGACTTTTCTCAATTCTCTAGTGTTTCAGAATTCTATTCAAGAGTGATAGCTCGTGATTGCTTTTATCCATAATTTCTGTTGTGTCAATAACAATGCTATGTTAGACCAAAACGACACAATGCCCTTCAACCCTACCTTATGTCAATAACAATACAATATTAGACCGAAACGACACGACGCGATGCCCTTCAACCCTACCTTATGTCAATAACAATACAATATTAGACCGAAACAATGCGAGCCCTTCAACCCTACTATATATACTGCTCCTCTTTATGTGAATTAGCTCAGAGTTGAGAACATGACCAATCATAAAAGTGCCCCGAATTCTATGGCAGTCATTAGGACACAAAGAAAAATACAAAAAAAAAAAAAAAAAAAAATCTGCTCTCTTTTGCATTATTAGGAAATGACAAGTGCTTCTGAGCAATGACATTTTAATAAAATAAAATAAAAAGCAAGTACACTGCACACACTTGCTCAAAACCCATGTCCTCCATTTTCATTTTTATTTTATTTTTTGTAATTGCCACCGCTAGAAAAAAAAAAATGGAAAACATAAAACGTAGACCAAATGATCCATAATAAAAAGGGGCACACAAACTTTCTTTTTGAAGCCTTGGATGATCAGATTTCCTTGCCAAATGTTTTTGGCAAGTAATGACCCATCTCAAGGCAGTTTCACACACAATTTTCTTTCTTTTTAAATAAAAAACCATAAAATTAAAAAAGAGGATGCACTTAAGTGAAGTGAAAAATATGAGGGAACTTCCATCTGTGAAGCATATGACAATAATCAGTTTTAGCCCCAACACTCAGGTGTTTTGGAATGGTCCCTCTTGGGGTCCCTGCAATAGTCATATACCAAATGGTTGGTTTGAACCCATCTCATGGTCCTGTACTGCTGTCGGGTCAGCCTGCCAGACCGAAAGGGAGAGGCGGACACTGGGCGGCACCAAGCCGGGGAATAGGCGGAGCAACCGCTGGCTTTGAAATTGGTATACTTGGCAACAAATGGTTGATATCTGTAATCTGCCTTGTATTTTCCATCTTCAGTTGCCCAAGATGAGGCATCCCAAATTGAACCATAAACCCACATTGGCCTTAAGGGAAATGTTGCAACACTTTTCCTAGCATACCTCCTTATGGGCACATCATCAACCAAAAATCTGTACCAATAATTAATCTGGTATTAACTTAAACATAAGATAATTAAACCCAGCAACAAGGTAACATCACAGTTCTCGTTTGGAAAAATATGACTGTTAATTACTATTCCGAATATATTTTATTATTAGCTTAATTAGTGGCCAGCAAGAGGAACCAATGGCTTTGTACTATTATATTTAGTTTTTTTTTTTTTTTTTGGAACTTTAACGAAATACTTTCGGTACTGTTTATTTTAACAAAAAATCACATTTTTACACTAAAAAGTCAATCATGATACTATTTACTTTATCCTTTATGTTGTCCTTATTGTTAAAACTCAAAGTTTTCAAGTTCTTTTCATTAGTTTTTTTTTTTTTTTTTTTTCCTTCACTTTTTTTTGTCAAATTTTTTATAAAGACTAAAATAATGGAGGAAACTTTTTCTTTGGCAAATGACATCCCCTTACGGTTCTTAACATATTTGAATATGGGGCCCTCAAACTAACATAATTGAGGATAAGGAATAACTTATTTATCACATGACAAGAGAACAACATACACAAAAATGATATACAACAGTTACATAAAAGTTTTACTCTTAAGATTGTTTACATACCAACAATGATAAAAATTTGAACTTGAAAACAAGAGAAAGTTCACGCTAATTGATCAACTAGGTTAACTGATTGGGTCTGACTTTTTACGTTGCTTACAAGTTTGTACATGAATATTGGTCTCTTTTTATAATTTATGTTTACTCCTGTCAAATCACTTGGATTTTCCTTAATTTTAGAGATAAAGTAAGAAATAATTTGGCATAGTCATATTATTGTTTCAACTTTAAAATTATCATTAAAGCTTTTCAATATAATATGATGAATACGAACCCTGCCCTTAATTACAGAAGGCTTCTTTCCTGAATTTTCTGGTAAAAGTTTATTCAGATTAACAATTCTAAGTTATTCTTTGATTTCAAGTATATTCCGATTAACAATTCTTACTCTTTGATTTCAAGTTAGAAAACTTACATTATGTCCTTGGGACTCCATAATATAGCATAGTGATGGAAATTCTTAGTGGGATCAAACCACAAGTGAAACTTCATCTCCCTGCCAATAATTCTTCCATCCCCACTTCCTCTGATGTAAACATTGGTCTGCAAAGTATAAGGCTTCCCAAATGTTGTCCCAAGAAACTCAATGTCCACTTCATCATGGTATCCTGGATGAGCTTCACTGTTTGAAAGCTGCAATAATACTATTTGATCAATTCACCAGGCATTTACTTAATCTAGAACACCCAATTTTGCTTAGAACTTGTAAAACCATTCTAACAGATATTCAAATGGGGTGCAATTGGTCTTTTTGACAAAATGATATTCTAAACTACTCTAATATATAAAAGGGGGATTCGAAACGCATGCAAAGGGTAGGACACACTGTCATAGTCAACTAGCATAACCAAGCTTCAATTCCTTAAATGGCATAAAATATGCCCATCTGCATGCACGTTTGAGTTCTTTAAATTTTCTCACATAGAAAGCTGTTATGACTCCTGCTGTGTAACCAGTTTGAAGCTTAATGGAGGCACCAAAGTAACCGGATCTAAATGGACGAACTGATTTGAACCCACTTCCTGTTCAGTAAAATGGACAAGAATTTAGACAAAATTTTAAACAAATTCAATAGGTGCCCTGCTAATTCGGGAAGCAGTAAAATATGAAGTAAAAGTCGGTGTGAGACCTGTGGTGCTATCAAGCCAGACTGTTAATGCATTTTGGTCTAAGCTTTGATGCTGAGGACCCCAGAGAGTTTTGAATCCTTTATAAAAGCTCATAGACCTGAACTTAGAGCTTGGCCAGTAGCCAGGTGATGGTGGCCAGTCAGCATTGGTTGCAGGGACTAAAAGAATCAGGAGGAACAGGAAGATAGCCATGGATGGGGGGAGAGGAGGAGAAATGTATACAGAAAATAGAATAATTGGCCTCTGTACAAATGCAGTAGAGAGAGAGAGAGAGAGAGAGAGCTGAGGAAAACCAGGTGTGGATAGATGATGAGAGAGCATGGTAGTACAGCTTGATATAAATAGGAAGATTATTTTACATGAATTAACCATCCATATAAAGCGAATGGTGGTCCACATTAGATGGCTATAGTAAGATTTTTGGCATGTTAATAAAATAGGGTCAAAAGAGGTAATGTAACTTTGTTTGATATTAAACAGCGGCATGCTGTTAAAAATTTGGTTAAGTTGGACACTAAATGACACAAACCAAAATTATTGGAAATTAGACTATATATTGATTAAATATTGGATGACATACCTTCAAATATTGACGATATAGGAGTCAAATATTGACAACAAATCAATGAAATACTAAAAAATCATCATTTGAAGAATTAGAATTTGTGAATTGGTCATTTTAGAAAATTATCCAAAACTAATTATAGTTAGACATCTTGAATTTCTAAGAATGCTACTCCAACAATCTCTAGCTAGTTTTAATTAACATTGCCTATTTGATTAATTTTAATGAGATTAAATGATTTATGAAATAGAGAAAGAGAGGGGACATATTTGAGCAAAGTTGATTTCTCTCTCATGGCTTCACAAAACAAATTGGACTCGTGGATAACTCGTCTGCTAGAGGAGTGTTTTGAGGATCTAAATGAAAAATGATTTAAACTTATTTAATTAGTAGTGTGATGGAGAAAATACTTAATCACAAAAAAATAGAAGGAACAAGAAGTGAGAAATATTAGAAAGTACTCGGTATAATTTTCTTCTCCCTCATCACAACTACTATCTTTCACACCATGAATGAGGAAACATGTTTGCCTTTGGTTGCATGGTTGGAAAGCTGGGACATGAGGATGTGATGCAGAATGGGTAGATGGTTGTCTCTTAAATGTGCCCTTTTTCCCTCTGTCTCTGTTGGTGCATCTGTTGTTTTGTGATTCCATAAGAACTTGGGGCTTATGCGTAAAACTCCTTTATCCTCCCAAAAAATATCAAAGCTACATCCCATTTATGTCTTTGCCTTTAAAGCAAACCCTGCTGGATTACCCCTTATTGTGTGTGTTTTTACCTTCTCTTCTGTTTTCTCTTGCCAGGAGTGTCAGCTTCATATGCAGTGGAATATAAATGTGAAACGTTTGATAGGTCAGCAGTAATACTTAAAATCTTTCATATAATCTGAATATGCCCCTTTATTTTATGAGAGAAAAATGGCAACCTATTGTGATGTTGACATACTTAGGGTCCTCTGATAATTTAATTTTCAATTTTTTTTTCACTTTTTTGAAAAAATTGAAAGCTCGTTTGATAACTACTTTGAGTTATAATTTTTCAAGAAAATGAAAATTGAAAATCAAAAAGTGAAAACTACCATATTGAGTTTTTAAAATTTGGCTTTCAGTTTTCAGTTTTTGTTTTTTTAGTTTTCATTTAAAAATAATAATAAAAACATGAGGTAGTTACCAAACAATTTTTCAGTATAAAAAAATGAAAATGAAATGGTTATCAAATGACCCCTTAATTAACTAGTTTTTTTTTTTTTTTTTTTTTTTAAATTTTTTTAATTTTTTAAGTGAAATTGTGTGAGAGTTTAACGGTTTGAACTATTGTGTTGTATTCTTCTCTCAAGGAGAAAATATATATGCAAGTACAAGGATGTTTGGTACATTGAATTTCTACGATAAGAACATTGAATCCTTATTCTAGGTACATTGATTCAAGGCAACATACATTAAACTCTTATGGTACATTGACTCACGCCAACATACACTGAATCCCTATGGTGCATTTCTTAGAATATGAGTATGAAACTAAATATTATAGTCAGTTGTAGTGTTTCAATTGACATAGAAAAGTCTTGCCAGAAAGTTTAAAACTATCGTAATTCCTGTAAGATTGTAATTAAGATATGATTGGATTCATAGTTGGTATCCTATTGTGATTCTAATTGGAGAATGATTAGGATTGATCTATTATAAATAGTGGTTATTGCTCTCACAAAATACACGCTCAACATTGAATTAAGACCTGCTGTTAGTTTGAGTATTTTTGGTTTTGCAAGAGAGGAGAATGTGCATTGTTTAGAAGTTTGGTTTGGCTTCTTCTTCTACTATTTTTACGGGTTAGTTTGTTATTGTGTTTATTGAATTGTGATTTTAATACTTGTATAAATTTGTGGTTCATGATCTTAATCTTTTAACTTATGTTTTTGATAAGTTTAGTCTTACAACATTGACTGACGCCAACACTCCCTCTCAAGTTGGTGCTTAGATGTCGCCTAAATCCAACTTGTCAAGTGAGTCATGAAACACTTTTGTGGACACTGCATGTGTTAAAACATTTGCTAGCTATTTTCTGTCATCACGAATAGAATGTTTACTAACTCAATATCCCACTTCTCCTTGATAAAATGTCGATCCACCACAACATGTTTAGTTTGATCATGTTGTACCAGATTATTGGCTATCTCTTTTGCTGCTTTATTATCGCAATATAAAAACATAGGCTCATTGGGCTTGAAATCTATTTCCGTGAGTAAAATTCGAAGCCACAAGAGTTCATAGATACTATGTGCCATCTCTTTATACTCGGCTTCCACAGAGGATCGAGCCACAACATTTTGCTTTTTACTTCTCTAGGTTATAAGATTTCGGCTACAAATGTGAAGTACCCTAATGTAGACAGCCAATCAGTAATATTTCCAACCCAACCTGCATTAATATATCCATTTACCTCCATATGTCCATATTACTTGAAAATTAAACCTTTCGTAGGAACCTACTGTCATGTGGTCTTCACTTGAAGCATGCATAAATTCACTCACTACACTTACAAAGTAAGCAATATCAGGCTTTTAAGTGATAAGTAAATCAGTGTTCCCACTAACCTCTGATATTGATCCTTATTAGTTGGGACTTGATCTTGGTAAATTGAAAGGTGATGATTTTGCATAATGGGTGTATACACCGGTTTACATACCAACACACCAATTTCGCACAAAAGATTCAGTACATATGTACGTTGTGGTAAGTATATACATTCTTGAGAGTGAGCAACCTCAATTCCTAGGAAATATTTAAGTCCCACTATATCCTTCATCTAAAACTTGGAAGACATGTAACCTGTAACTGTTCAATCTCATTGATGTCATTACTTGTAACAATTATACCATCTACTTATATACTACGCAATGTCACTTTACCATCCTTCCATTTGATGCACAAAGTATGGTACGAATTTCCCTATAGATACCTATATCTCTTCATGGCTTGAATAAATCTCCCAAACCATGTTCTAGGTGACTGCTAGCCATATAAAGCTTTTTAAAGTTTACATACATTTCCATTGGATTTGGCACGCCATACCCAGACGGGAGATCCATATACGCCTCATTCTCCAAATCTCCATTTAAGGAAGCAATTTTTACATCATACTATCTTAAGGGCCAATCAAGGTAAAAGCTAGAGATAACAATACTCGAATGATAGCAAAAGTTTTTCGATAGTCGACACCAAAGGTTTGTGTATATCCCTTGGCCATTGATCTCCCCTTGTATCGATTAATCCTCCCATCCGCCTTGTGCTTAATTGTAAACATCTATTTACATCCTACTGGTCTTTTTCCTTTTGGAAACGAAACAACCTTTAATGTATCATTCTTTTGTAATGCCTCAATCCTAGTTTGCATTTCCTTTGTTCACTTTGGATCCTTAAGAGCTTCTTCCATCCTTGTTGGTATTTTAATTTCCTCTATCTATTTCACTAATGCACAGTATGCTGGTAACAATCAATGAGTAGATACATACTTTGCAATTGAACATTGTACATATCCTTTTAAAGAGTACATGTTAAAGGGTTGTCCACGATTCTGTCGTAGAGGCAACTAATAAGCATGCTCAAGAACATGGGTATTAGATCATGTACTAGTTTCGAAATACTTACGTCAGGGTATCCATGGAATCGTTAGTGTGTACAAGTTTGTAGGAAAAGTTACCTCACAAGCTGGTTTGCTGCCCGACAGCATGTGACTATTTTTTATTAGTAGGTTATTGTTGATAAGTAGCTTAATGCTGTTCAATAGCTACCTGCTGATCAGACAACTTATGTTCGGTGGCTGCTTGTTGGTTAGACAACTGTTGTTCGATGGCTTTCTACTAATTAGACAACTGTTGTTCAGTGGCTGCCTGCTGATCTACAGTCGGCTGTTGTTCGGTAATTATTTCTTCGAACCTCGTCATCATATACAAATCAGTCTCCCCTAAACGACAAGAATGAGTTCATTAGAAGAAGAAAAAAAATATCGTATTTTGAGAATGTGACATCTAGAGTGGCATAGAGTCTACGGGATGAAGGATGATAGTACTGGAGCCTTTTTTTGTGGTGGAGCAAAGGCCCCAAAAAAAAAAAACACATTTTGTTGCAAAGGTCAAGCTTGGAACACTGATTCTTGTGAAGGTGAACATACGACACACAACAAATAATACATGGGGTAAGATCGAAAGAAGATGGCAAAGACACATGATCTGCTAGCACTTTGGAGGGTATTTGATTAGTAACTTCAATGAGAAGTGCCCTAGCTGTCTCAAGAACATGTTGATTTTTTCGTTCAACCACCCCATTATGTTGAGGTGCTTAAGGACAAGTGGTTTCATGCAGGATGCCTGGCTCTTGGAAAAATTTAGACAATTCAGGATTAACATACTCACCCCCATTATCGGAGTGAAACAATTTAATAAGAAGCGAAAACTAAGTCCAAACCATCTGATGAATCCTTAACAATTGTAGTAACATTTCTTTTGTGTTTCATTGTATAGAGACAAGTCATCCTAGCATAATCTTCCACAAATAACACAAACCATTGAATTCCTTATTACAAAGTTGAAACTAGGGAGGGACCCCACATATTAGAATGCACTAATTTGAACAGAATAGTACATTTAGTGGAACTCAATGGATAAAAGGTTCGATGATCTTTGCTAAAGTACATACATGACACCCTAGTTCAAAGTTTGAAATACCAGTAAAAAATGATGTAACCAACTT